GAACAATGTATTAGAAACATTGACTCATTTTTAAATAATGACTGACTTGCATGAAAAAAAAGGAAGAAATCGATTCAACAAAAATTAGCCTTTGCAGTTCTTAAGGGTCAAAATAATTGTCATAAAACTGCCATTTTATAGTTACCAATTTGGCATTAAAATTAATTCCCTAAAAATGCTTCTCTGCCTATAAAAAAAAACATACTATTTATTTTTTTATGTTTTACAGTCTTATGAAAAATAGAAGCAGGCAACTTGCAATGGTCCCTTGTCAGACCATCAACTTCTGTAAAAAAATAACCTTGAATTTTCCTACGTACATGATTTTTCTGATATTTTCGAGAGTATGGGAAACACGACAAACTTTTTTCCGTAGTTGTACCTTTTAAAAAAAAGTTTTTTTTTTAAGGTCACCTTAGTGATAATGTAAGATTTCTTGTCTTGTACATGTACCGGAAAGGGCTTGATGTATAAAGGCATTGAGAAATTTATTATTGAACAGAAGGCTAGAAGGAATTTTCGTACTGATGCCACTACTGTGCAATCATGTAGATCATTGGAAAGATGCCGTGGTTGTGACACCTATGGTCACAATGTACAAACTTGCTTAAACGAACAAGTGAGATGGAAATGCTTTTATGGTTGCAATGGACCAGCCTTTCATGTTGTCAGTGATTTTCCTGCAAAAAGGTGGAATAAGCTGCTGTCAGTCCGGAAACGGCATCTCAAGGGAAATGCTTTGGTAGAGGTTTTTGTTAAAGAGACTCAAGGCAATTCAGTTCTAATAATAATAAAAATAATGATTATACGTTGAATATGGGTGGTTGAGTGGTTTGGCAAATGTAAAGCTGCTGATTTAAACTGTAATAATAAACAGCTCAATAATTACAACAATCTGGATAACAACACGAACAAACATTCAGGCCACAACTTTAATTCCAACAATTCTTATCAGCCCAAAATTAGTACGCCAAACAAACCTCGAGGCCTTAATAAAAAATCCACCTATAAGGAAGTTGTGTCTTCTATCGCTTCAGGTGAAAGTATAGAATCTGTTAATGTAACAACTAAATCCGTTGCCAAGTTTATTGTAGACACAGATACACCCGAAGCATTTGTCAAAGTTAAAATTTTTTTTTAGAACCATTAAATACAATCCTCGTACTATTTAACATGCTAACAGCAACTCAGAAGTGAACTTAGAATTGGAGGAAGTAAACCTATTGCTCTTAATAATGTAACTTGTTCAAAAGATCTGGCTGAGAATCTTTTATCCTTGCGTAAGTTTGTAAAGATGAGGTTTGCGATTTATTTAAACAATTAAAACATAGGTATCAATTATTGAAATTCGAATGAGTCTGTGATAACTGGCTTGTACAAACAACCTTCTTGGTCAATCGAGTTCGAATTTAATGAACTCATAAAAGATAGTAAAACGAAGGTTGGTTCATTCCAGATATTTAAGTTTAAAAGTAACAGCAACGATAAATAATGAAGATTTAGATAAAATGAGATCGAATAAGAATACAGCAAAACCAACTAATTTTAACACGTGAAACTTTAAGCAACTGTTTTTTATCGAGAAATTTATATCGTAAATTAAGGATTGGAAGAGATCGAACAAATAAATGAACCTTTGGAAAACCACAACATTGAACATAAAAAGGAAGACCAGGTTTCTGTGGCACTGTAGATGAGGACATGCTTTTCTGGAATATTTCAAGGCTTTATTAAGGAAGCATGCTGAAAACGAATAATTGCAAGAAATAGTTTTTGAAGACTTAACTAGAAAATGTGTGGTTTGTTTACTTATAAAAAATACCAAGTTGCCTTTTTCAAGTGTTAAAACTTGTGCACCAAAAACCATCGCAAATTATTCATTCAGATTTAATGGGAGTAGTGAGTCGAAATCTTATCCTAAGGGTTACAGATTTATCGCCATATTTGCAGACGATCTTTCTAGACTATTAATGTCCTGTCAGATGAAAATTAAAAGTGAAGTTTGAGACTGTTTGCATTTGTTTGTTAAGTCAGCTCAAAATACATTAGGTTACGATACTAAAGTTTATTTTCTTTCATCGGATAAGAGTACATAGTTAACAGAAGTGCGTACAATCGAAGTCCTGGAGAGTCTCAGAGCTGAACAACAGATCGTTTATCTGGACACTCCAGAATACAACGATACCTATGAAAGATTCAATTGTACTGTTCAAAGTGAAGATCGAGCTCTAATGTACGATTCAGGACTCCCCGAAAATATGTGGGATTTGGCTCTTGATGCTGCAATTAATGGTTATCGTAGAACACCCGACCATTGGAATGACATGATCACCCCATCTGAAAAATTCGAACCTGACTTCAGTTATGGTGTTAGATAAATCAAAAGATGAGGTATAATTAAATTTTTAAAGCTCAAACAAAAATAGGCCCTAAATTTAAAAATGTAAGACTCAGAGTCGTCTTGATTAGTTATACCTTAAGGAGGCTTGGGCGTTTGGTGTCGTATCCCCTGTGGGGTACTTGTCATGCAGATGATTCTTTGTAATATTTTTTTTATAATCATTTTAAATATACACATGTGTGAACAAAATAGCAATAATACGCTGAAAAGTCATTGGGAAAATCGATATTAAAAATTTATTAGTTTTCCCGAGGTACCTTGTGTAAAGATGACGGCCCTGCCACGATAAAGCTGACAACACTGTACTCTCTTGCTCTCATCTGCTATTATATACCTATACTTGTGTTGGACTTAAATTTTCATGCTTGTATGTTTATTAATGTACAGCGCATGCGCACTTACAGTACCTGTCACCTGAACAAAACAATTCTCACGTTCGATGTTTTCCTCGCTATTTTCTCAAAATTTAACGTGTTGATCCTATTTTTTTTTTTAAATAATAGATTCTTTATACTTTTAAGTACATGTACCAATTTAATGTGTGGGCCCATAGCTTTTTACTGCGGTACGGTAGTCTATTGAATTTCGGGTTCCGTAAGGTTGCGTGTTAAAACGATAAATTTTCACAAGCGATTTTCTCGAAAATAAATGTGTTGACCTACCTATTTTGTTTTCCTAAAAAAATCTAGCAAACCTTATCTATATAATCTCTGAATTTCAGACCTAGCCAGCATTTAATTCAAAATCGCCCAAGCCTCCTTAACTGGATTTGTTCTCTTTCGACCAGAAAAAAGTAAATATTATAAAAGTAGAGGTGTCTGTTTTGTAGAAAGATAAGTTTATAAAGATTTATATAAGAAAAATAGCATAGCTAATTAGGAACCAGGATGGAACTCTTAAACCAAAAAAAAAATTAATGCATTAATTTAAAAATAAAGAAACTTAAACTGTTCCAAGAAAATGGAGAGAGAAAAAGTGGAAATAAACCAGACTGTCTAAAAATATATTATCTAAAAATAACGTCAATAATTGCAACTTCACTGAGATCGAGTTCAAACCTTACAACGAAAATTATTTTTTGTTGCTGACTGGCGTTAATAATGATACTGCATCTGTCCCTGAAACTATAGAGACTAAAAAAAAAGGACTTTTAGTTTGAGGCAATACAAAATAAATTGCAATCCATGAGAAAGAACCAAGTCTGAAACTTAGTTCACCGTTTTCAGTCATCAGCTAGTAGAATTTAACCGAACGTAGTTGATTTTAGAAAATATTGAAGAGGAAAATAAGACAGAGGGAAAATTAAAGTATAAAGCCTGATAAGTAATCAGTGGTTTCAAACATAAAAATATATTTAACTTGATTAAAACTTATACACCAGTATCCAGGTTAGCTTTATTTCGAGCCATTCTAGCTATAATTACGAAGTTCGACTTAAACACTAATCAACTTGATGTGAAGACTGCCTTCTTAATAGGCACTATCACACTGGATATATACACCTTGTTTGATCAATTAAGTCAAAATATCACTCTTCTTGCACAATAACATCATTGCTAGATAAAAATATTATCACGCAAAAAAATTAAAATCCATAACAAACTACGTATATTCTTTAAATAAAGAAAAATTATTTTTTTAATTTATTATGTAAGGTCAAGCATGAATAAATAAATAAACATAAACAAAAATTAATATATTACAGTAAAACAATCTAAATATGACACTTCATTATCAAGTTCATAAAAAACAAAATATGAAGAATATTTGGCAACTTACTACGACTAATAGTATTTCAAATGGTTTCAAAAATATTGAATACTTCTTTTTATATCAATATTTGCATAACAGTCAAATATTTTGTTAGCTTAAGTTTTAATTATATTATATGTATTATATAAGAACATCAATTTAATTGTTTTTAGCACAATAAACGATACAATTAATGAATAGCGGTAGTGCATTGTTGAATTTTGTTAGACCATTACTACCGTAATGAGAAATATTTGATAGAAGTGATAGTATAAAAATACATTAACGTTATAGAAAACTATTTCATTTTATGAATAAATAAACACATTTTTGTTTAAATTTAATTCTTGATGTATTAAACATATACATTTATACTTATACAGATCTAAATTTAATTGAATAAGTCTTTAAGCGGGGAGAAAAGTGAAAAATCTTTGGTATAGGCCTGAAGAAAATGCAGCATATACAAACGTCCTTATAATCTTTTTGCACTGTCTTAATGTTATATTAAGCAAAATACTATAAGTTTATTCTCCATACAGTAATTTAGATCATTTTAGATAATGCTATTCTAAAAATCTAAATATATTAAAGAGTCAGGTAGGTGGTGAGTCGGTGGCCAGTGTAGGTGGGCCACTTAAAATGTGCTATTTTTCGTAGGATACTTTTGATTAGGTTAATTTAACGAAATATTATTAAAATTTTTTTCTTTATTGAAGGGGGCTAAGAAAATAATTTAAAATATTTAAGGTTGATATGGGGGGTCGCCGACTAAATCGGGGCGTAACAACTAATATCAGAAACATATATACATTTATTAGCAACTAACAGAATTTTATTTCTTTAGGTAAAGCACCTCCAAGAGGCACGACAATTGAATTAACACATATTGATGTACCAGCTAATATGAATCTGTGGCCGTTATTTCATAATGGTGTTGCTACAGGGTTGTGCATTCAACCGAATTCTTTAAATGTTGATTCAACGTGGATTGTCTACAATAAACAACAGCAAGGAGAACTAGGCATTGAACATTCAGGTTTTCTTATGGCGTTAGGACTCAACGGTCATCTTAAGAATCTAGCCCCATTTAGCATGTATGAGTACTTGGTTGAATGCCATGAAGCAACTAGTGTTGGATTACTTTTAGGATTATCTGCTACCCATCGAGGTTCCATGGATGTATCAATGACTAAATTACTTTCTCTTCACGTAGAAACATTACTACCTCCAACAAGTATTGAACTTAATGTTCCACAAAATGTCCAAGTGGCTGCTGTAATAGGGGTTGGCTTAGTGTATCAAGGAACAAACCATAGGCACATAGCTAATGCATTACTTTCCGAAATAGGTAAGAAAATTTAAGTCTTATCTGAGTTAAACTATAAATCGATTTATCCCTCGGAAAATATAGACAGAACATACTAATTAAATAAAGATAAGAAGGATGACCGAGTCGTCTGAGGGGAACTTTGCAAGGGACCCGCACGAAAGACTTGCATACTTGAGGAAATGAATGGTATTAACGAAAAAAAGAACATAGAAGGTAAAGAATGGGGGACATAAGATGCGTAAGATCCCTGGAATGGGTATACGTTGGAATCATAATAGTACTACTACTACTACTACTACTACTACTACTACTACTACTACTACTACTACTACTACTACTACTACTACTACTACTACTACTACTACTACTACTTCTACTACTACTACTACTACTACTACTTCTACTACTACTTCTACTTCTACTACTACTACTACTACTACTACTACTACTACTACTACTACTACTACTACTACTACTACTACTACTACTACTACTAGTAGTAGTACTACTACTACTACTACTACTACTACTACTACTACTACTACTACTACTACTACTACTACTACTACTACTACTACTACTACTACTACTACTACTACTACTACTACTACTACTACTACCACTACTGCTACTACTACTACTACTACTACTACTACTACTACTACTGCTGCTGCTGCTGCTGCTCCTACTACTGCTGCTGCTACTGCTACTGCTACTACTGCTGCTGCTACTGCTACTGCTACTGCTGCTGCTACTGCTGCTACTACTACTACACTACTACTACTACTACTACTACTACTACTACTACTACTACTACTACTACTACTACTACTACTACTACTACTACTACTACTACTACTACTCTCCCCTAGGGGCTGCAAGACCTTGTCGTTGGTGGGGGTGCCTGGCTTGAGATGGGGTAGGCTCTATAGAAATAGGTGATCATTTGTCTGAATGTGCGAGCGACTGGGTTTCCCTAAAAACAAAAGAAAAAATAAAAAAGGGGGAACTTCAAAAATAAATGAGAGTATAAGTGGTGTGTACGTATGGGGACTAGATCTCGAAGGGAGCTGTCTCGATCCTCGAATAAAAATCAGCTGACTTAGGGGGCTGGCAGGGGCTGACCCTCCGTCCAAGTCACTAAGAATCAGCTTGCTGTCTTGGGTTATTGGGTCTTCGTGGGTGGGACTGAGGGAGAGTGGCGATTCCCGAATGGGACTGTTGAATGTTCCATGGCCTGTTCTTACAGATACAGGACGAAGAGGAAGCCTTTTGAGCATAGACGGTAACATCAGCGAGGACAGCAACGTGATAGTTTTTAGCAACCAGATCCAGGAGGAGCTTACCTTTTTAGAAAACAATGGTCATCAGCTTAGAATAAAGCGATGTCAAGTAATTGAGCAAGTTCAATCGCCAACAAAAGAGATTCAAGAGACGCTAAAAGCAATTAATGGTAAGTACGAAAACACGACGAACGCTGTTAAAAATAGTCTCAAAGTGGCGCTTAAACATCTTGAAGAAGCAGAGGTAATAAGATGAGGCTTTCGTTATGAAGAAAAAGTGAGAAATATTTGGAAGATGTTTTTCGAATTCCGGACGTGGAGGGAACAAAGGCGAGATAATTTCCGACGCCATGTTCAGAAAAGAACCCTGAACACTGCCCTTAAGGAAATAGAGCGAGTTAAAGAAAGCAGGAGCCCATCAGACAGCCCTGAAAAACACCAACAAGCCATGTCTTCTAAAAAAAGGAGACAGGCAGAGGCAAACAAGAAGAGGTTCTCCTGCACGATAAAAAAGACCAGAAGAAAAGAGTAGACCCGACAACAACAGTACTGGTGAAGATGGCCGAAGGACAAACCTTTGCTTATGTGCTGACGTCAATAAAGGTGAACTTTGACCCTTACAAGGCTAATGCTGCAGTTAAAAGTGTTGCTTCCACGAGGAAAGGAGATATACTTATAAAAGCCAAAGATGTAGAGGATGCGATTGCATTCTCACAGCAAATTGAAAAGTCAGTAACCGGACAGGGAACTGTTGAAATAAGCACTAAAAAAGTGACACTAGAGGTCCGAGACCTGGACGCTATTGTCAAGGAAGATAAGGTTAAAGAGGCTTTTTTCAAGACTTTTGGACTTAACAGCTAGGAGCCTAAAGTTGCTCTCTTCAAACTAAATATCAGAGGACAGAGGCTGGCGTTGATAACGGTAGACGAAGTGACTGCTAGACAAGCAGAGAGTGAAGGCAGGGTAAAAGTTGGCTTCGTAAGCTGCCAAATCCGACGAAGAATTGAAGTAACAAGATGTTACTAATATCTGGGATATGAACATGTTTCAGGCAGCTGTAAAAAAAAAATATGTCCAAGCTTTGCTTCTGGTGTGGAAGCTGCAACCACCAGAAGAAAGATTGTTCAGGCCCAGGACGGTGTTTTCTCTGTCCAACGACGGATAACCAGCGTGAAGCTGGCAGTGGGAGCTACCCTTTATTTAAAAGAGAGCTAGAAGAGGCCAAGAAAAAGGCCCAAACAGGACGCAAATGAGGATTGGCACCTCCAGCAAATGGTGGCGAGTTTGCTAGTTAATGCTGATAGACGTAATAATCTTTCTGGTTGCTCCACCCTAAAGTAATGTTAACGCGGTTCTGGGGTGGAACAAAACTCACAGGGCATGGGAGGGGGGTTTAGTGGGTTAAGGTATGGGTGGACTAAAAAAAACCATCGAATCCCACACTACCGCTGTCCCTGGGGTGTGCCTCAATGCATTTCCCCTTTTATCCACAAAAAAAAAAAAAAAAAAAAAACTACTACTACTACTACTTAATTAAAGAAGACTTTTTATGACTTATTTTCGTATTTTTTAAACAATTTACTTCAACGTTATAAGATACCCAGTTAAAGATATGGTACTACCCGTTTGTCCTAACTTAAGGTTTTACACTTTTATTGTTTATTCAGAACGTAAATTAACGTATTCAGAACTATCCTCACTTAACAGGGACAGTAGTAAATACGTAAATTTTTGTTTTTAATTAGGTTATTATATGCAGTAACAACGTGTCACATTTAAATTATACGTATTAACAATACTGCATTAGTTTTTTTTTAAAGAGGGTACTGGGAATATTCTTATACCAGTTGAGGATATATGTAAAACTATGTTATGTTTTTTTAAACTAAACTTTTAAAAAGTAGAACCATTATTCGTATATAATAAAAAGCTTATAATAACCATTTACAGCATTTACAAACGAAAATTCACTAAAGTTTAACTAGTGAGACACAGCAGCAAAATGAGCTTACGCAATCGGTGACATTCGCACTGCTAGCGCTGTATTATTGAAAAGCAATTCTCCCTCGAAATTTGACCTTTAACGTGCGAAGCAACGAACCGTAATTTATGTGTGTATTTTAAACTGCAGCTACGATCTCATTATTCATCCTTGAATATTATTGACTTTGGTTGGTAAGCGTATGATAATAGTTTATTTCTAGTTTAGAGCCTATTGCAGAGGTAATAGATGTAGAAATAGTAAGATTGGTTAAAAATATTCAAGATTCTCCTCAGGTTATTATACTAAAACATCAAAAAAAGTATAAGGTTAAAATAAAATTATCGATGGTATTATCAATGCCACTGATCACAGAATGGTAAATAAACTGTGAAAAAACGTAAACGTTTTAATCTGCAAAAGATTTTCCATACAATAATTGTCTCGAGTTCAATCAGTACCACCTTTATGATATTTTTTTTTACTTTCTTTAGCATACAAATTTTTAATACCTGACGTATTTACGAGTCTTTGTCCAAAAAAAAGTGGCAAACTGTAAGAATCCATATACTATAAATAAATAAGTTTAAATTAAATCAATATGAACAATTTATGATTATAGTCCGAAGTATTGCATATTGTAATAAATATTTTTATAGGTGTAAAATATACTTAACTTTTCAAACTGTAATCGTGTGAGACGGTAATGAGAACGGCTAATTGGAGTGTCAAGAAAAATTGTGCGTGGAGTCAGTGGGGGGCCTGGGCAATAAATGTTAAGTCGAAAAAACAGAGAAACAGACTTAATTTTTTTTCATTTTAAAAGAGATAAGTGCATCTGTGGGAACATCTGTAGGAATCTGTAGACGATTCGCGTAAGCTGCCTCATACAAACAACTATATGTTATTGGAAGACATCCTAAACTATTAGAAATACTTTTTTTAGACGCCATCTCTAGAAGTATCCTTCATACATTGTTTCAGTGTAAAGAAAAACGAAAAGTTTAATAGCTTATTCCATGTAACAGGAGTACCAATATTTTACCAGTCAAAGCGATTGATCAAATTGTTGTACTTCGAAGAAACGAGTAAATTTTTTTTTTGTAGATAAAATTTTTTTTTCAGTTTTCCATATTATCATTAAAGTAAAGGAACATTGAATTAATTTTGTGTTTATACAAAATTAATTTTTAAGTCATATTATTCCAGTTTACTCTTTTTTTTGTGATGAGTAAATTAAACGCAAAATATAGTTTTATTTTTGATTTAAAAATTTGATCCACTTCTAGAAGAAAACAGTTTTTTTATTCCCTCAACTATTATAAAAATATTTCTAGTGCCCTCTTTAGAAAAAACGATGCGGTATTGTTAATACGTATGATTTAAATGTGACACGTTGTTACTGCATGTAGTAAGCTAATGAAAAAGAAAAATTTACTTATTTACTACTGTCTCTGTTAAGCGAAGATAGTTCTAAATACGTTTATTTACGTTCTTATGAAAAATAAAATAAGTCATAAGAAGCCTTTTTCTTGATTAAATAGTCGTAGTAGTAGTAGTTTTTTTTTTGTGGAGGGAGAGTTAATGCATTGACGCACACCACAGAGACAGCGGTAGTGTTGGACTCGGTAGATTTTGTTTACTAGACCACTCATACCATACCCACTAAACCCCCCCATGCCGCGTGGCTTTTGTTCCACCCCGGAACTGCGTGAGCATTACTTCAGGGTAGAGCCACCAGGAAGACTATCGCG